ACCCGAAGTGAGTCTGCTTGAAGATGCTTTTCTTTTAGTGTGTTGACTGCTTCACTGTTTCATTTTCTAGAGAGCAGTTGATTTGGCTATGGTAGCTGGCGACGTTCACGTGATTCATTTTCTTTGTTCAGTAACAATAAGGAAGTTGCGGGATTCTGTAGGTTTTGCGTTTTCTTGATGACTGGCGTCCGCAGCGTTACATTTTGTGTACACGTTCTTGTGAATTTTCGTTAGTGGGAGAGGGGGTCAGGAGGCAGGAGTAGGTCACGATGACTGTGGTCTGCCTTGGGAAGTTGAGCCTGGCAAATGGCCGGGACCACTGTTTCTAAAAGAGGGCGTAGAAGAGTGGACGTTAACGCGTCGCTGAGTCCCTGCCTCCACAGATCCGCGAAAACATACTTTCCACATGACCTTGCCTTCCGGTAGTTCAGAAGACGTTCTACAGTATTTTCAGGCAGGAGCTCACATGCCGCGTGATATGCACTCAGTAGTCGTACTTGTGCGTGTGTTGTCTTTGGGATGTTGCGCTAAGGTTTGTATTTCTTCATAACTCTCATTTTTTTGGATATCTTACTTCAGTTGAAAACAAATTTCGCGATAACCCCAAGGTGGCATCTCTTCCTTGTTGTAGAAGCGCAGATCTGCAGCCGGTTAGGGTGTGCCCTGTTCACCTATAGAAAAGTAGGGCAAGAGGTGTTCGCAGTCACCAGAAAGCCTGCCCACACTTAGCCTGGATACCCATGAATACACGGATGCTACTCCATTTACCATATATTGGGAATAGTTTGCGATTTTCTCGCCATCATGTGTGCAGCTGTGCGACTCTCGCCTGTGTTTGTCTTGTCTCTCATAGAGCGTCTGTGCGTCTCTGTTCACTGCAGTGCTTACAGTGCTCCACAATCGGTCAGCCTTCATTTGGGCCTTTTTGACGCGGTTTCTTCTGCTCAGAGCTAGGCGTGGTTCGAGGAGTCCTTGAAGAGGGGTCCGTATTTTGCTCCTATAGAGACAGGTCGTATTAGACGATTGGATTCTTTTTCCGTTATTCTTCTCCCCCTATACGGTAATTCTTCACTATTTTTACTATCTGATTGTGAGTGTTTTCCTCTTCTAGCTCGAGGGGTGGGCCTCGCATTGGGTCATATTCGGTGGAGGAATATAAGGGTGATAGCATCTAGGGAAAAATCCCCCCTTGACGCCATGATTAGCCTTGCCTCTGTCCCCTCACTCAATTGGTGAGTCCGTTGTCACCTACAAATCCATGTTAGAACCAGTAGATCTAAATTCCTTCAGTTCAGTTTGCGTAATTTCTTTTTTGCAGGATCTTGCCTTGGGCAAAGTACTTCCAACCGAGGTTGTGGATTCTATTTTCATTACCAAGTTTCTCCCAGAATTCACTTCTTTGATGGTGGAAGACTGCATCAGAGCAGAGCTCATGCGCACGAACAGTGAGTTCTACTGCTATCTTGTTTTACTGCTATTATGCCAACATGATGAGAACTCTAGAGGTATACTTGTTTCAGGTGATCTTGGAGAAGAATTTGTCGTTGGTAACTTCCTATCCAAACCATCTGACCGACTAATCACATTTTTGAAAGTAATCAGTTTGTATTTATAAAGCGTGAGCGATGTTCCAACAGGGAGACGCATATAGGTGCGAAGCACTGAAGTCAGGAGAATTTAGGCCATGTTCCAGGGGGTGGATCATCTACCCCGAAGCTCCTTCCCCTCCTCCCACCTTGCTTAGGCAAAAATGCTCAACTGACTCGTCATCGTTCCTCCGCATGCTGGGCCAAAATGCTCCTCCTTAGAGCGCGCTAAACCGCGAAACGTTCCAGCGAGTATTTCCTTACTCCTTATACCTTTCAGTATGTCCGATATGTTCCAGG